TGTGTGATTTCGATATTTTGTTCTGGGGCCCATGTGTTGTTGTGGTTTTGGAAGTCGCTTTTTCCTTTTTTTTTTTTTTTTGAGACAGAGTCTCGCTTTTGATTGCCCAGGCTTTTGGAAGTGAGTTTGCCGTGTGCTGTCAGCCTAGCTTCAGCAGCAACCTCCCAAACTCCTGGGTCAAGGGTCTCATGCTCTCGCCTCCTGAGTAGCTGGGACTACAGGTGTGCCACCATGCCCGGCTAATTTTTTTATGTAGTTTATAGTTGGCCAATTAATTCTTTCGTATTTTGTAGAGACGGGGTTCGCTCTTGCTCAGGTTGGTTCGAGACTCCTGAACTCAAACGATCCACCCACCTCAAGCCGTCGCCAGAGAGCTAGGATACAGGCCGTGAGCCACCCGCCGGCTTAAGCTTCATCTGTATTTACAGCGCCCTTCCCATTGCTGATATCCAACCTGAACTCCGCCTCACCACCTCTCACCCCCACAGACCTGTGTAGAAGAAAGCTTGTCTCATGAAACTCCATCCCTGTGCCAAAACAAGGCTGGGGACTGCTGGTCTTAAAAAGAAACACATTTCCAGTATCCGCAAATATTTAATAGCAGAATTGGTGGGTAAGGTGCTACAGAAGGAGGACTTAGACCAGACTGCTATGTGGTAGGAAATTAATTTGCGCCAAGGGTGAAGGAGTATTGTTTCTACAAGGCAGTTTGAGTTTGGGGGTCTGGGTGTGGCTGGAGCAGGAGGAGGTAGGGATTGCAGGAGTAATGGAGGAGGTGAGAAGGCGCGCTGGGGCCATGGCTTAGCTGCTTCGATCGCAGGGAGTCAACAGTGATAATCTACCTTTCACCGCCGACCGGGGTGTGAGGTGTGCTCGCTACCAACGGTTGGGAAAGCGAGTGCTTTTCAGGAACTTTTGTGGAGGGCTAGTTGTTAAATCGAGCCTAGTATATGAGTATTGTTAAAATTAGAATTTGATGTAAACTTATAATTAAATGTATCATAGTATATAATAACTTGAGACTTGGGTTGCCCAGGCTAGGGAGGGACCAGTGTGTCTTTTATTTCACCGTTAATATCTAAATTCTTGCGCTTGAGACTCTCCTCTGCTTGAGGATGCTGCCGTGAGCAGGTTTGAAGTTGAAAAAAAAAAAAAAAGAAAAAGAAAAATACAGATGAAGCTTCACTTGCTAGCCCACCGCTCACCTCCTGCCATGCAGCCCCTTGGTTCCTAAGTTTCATGGAAGATAATTTTTCCACGGATGGGCGAGGGGTGCCCCGTGGAGCTCTAAGGCCTGGTCCCCAACAGGTCACAGAAATGGTACTGGTCCGTGGCGCACGGGTTGAGGAATGCAGTTTTAAGATTTGTGATGGCTAAACCTGAGTATGTATGGGTTGTATTCATATCTGTTCCCATAGTACCTACCATAGTGCTTTGCATATACTAAGTGGTCAATAAGTATCCATTGACTGAATGCTAAGGATGAAGGGCTGCCATGAAAAGGGACAGAAGAAAAGGTTATGTGTGTGAGGCATCACCTGAAAGCCATCACCAGAAAGCATCTCCTTGGATGCTTTATGCTTATTTGGAATGGCCTGGGCTCCACCATTCAGGGCTGAAAAGCATATAGAGAATCTTCCCACCATACAACGAATCTAAGAATATTCATCTTTAATATAATGGAACTTGCCAGGCACGGTGGCTCACGCCTGTAATCCTAGCACTCTGGGAGGCTGACGCAGGCAGATTGCTCAAGATCAGGAGTTCAAAACCAGCCGGAGCAAGAGCGAGACCCCGTCTTTACTATAAATAGAAAGAAATTAATTGGCCAACTAATACATAGAAAAAAATTAGCCGGGCATGGTGGCGCATGCCTTTAGTCCCAGCTACTCGGGAGGCTGAGGCAGGATTGCTTGAGCCCAGGAGTTTGAGGATGCTGTGAGCTAGGCTGAAGCCATGACACTCACTCTAGCCTGGACAACAAAGTGAGACTCTGTCTCAAAAAAAAAATAATAATAACAATAATATAATGGAACTTTAGATTCTTGTAATTTTTGTATTTGTATAATGCCTAATAGTGTGTATGTGTTTTAATAACTTTCCTTTGGACATGTTATTGCTGTGCACTAGCAGGCAGGAGTGGGGGTGGTCTCATCAGGCTACTAACTGGACAACAGGGGTGCTCTGCCAGGTTTCTTGGTGGAAGCTCCACCCTGAGCAGGTGGCCCTTCTTGCCACTGTGATATGGAAAGTTTGACAAAAGAACATTTGCAATTCCATGTATGATTGACACAAATGATCATTTTATAGAAAATCCAATATACACAAATGATTCTTTGCTCATTTAAATTTTTGAATTAAAAATGTAATATAGCAAACTAAAATTATGGAATTTAGAAATACAGATGTTTGACTTATGATGGGATTACATTCCAATAAACCCATCAGAAGTTGAAAATACATTAAGTGCCCAGGCGCGGTGGCTCACGCCTGTAATCCTAGCACTCTGGGAGGCCGAGGCAGGCAGATTGCTTGAGGTCAGGAGTTTGAAACCAGCCTGAGCAAGAGCGAGACCCCGTCTCTACCATAAAAAATAGAAATTAATTGGCCAACTAATACATATAGAAAAAAAAATTAACTGGGCATGGTGGCGCATGCCTTCCAGCTACTCGGGAGGCTGAGGCAGGAGGATCGCTTGAGCCCAGGAGTTTGAGGTTGCTGTGGGCTAGGCTGATGCCATGGCACTCACTGTAGCCTGGGCAACAAAGTGAGACTCTGTCTCAAAAAAAAAAAAAAAAAAAAGAAAATACATTAAGTGAAATGTGGCCAGTATGGTGTGGCTCACACCTGTAATCCCAACATTTAGGGGAGGCCAAAAGGTGGGAAGATCACTTGAGGCCAGGAGCTTAAGACCAGCTTTAACAATAAAGCAAGACCCTGCCTGTACAAAAAAAAAATAAAAAAATTAGCCCAGTATAGTTGTATGCACCTGTAGTCCCAGGTTCTCTCCGCAGATTGAAGTAGGAGGACTGCTTGAGACCAGGAGTTTGAAGCTGCAGTTACCTGTGATGGCACCACTGTCCTCCAGCCTGGGCAACAGAACAAGACTTTGTCTCAAAATGAAAAAAAAGAAAGAAATGCATTTAATACATGTAACCTATGGAACAACCTAAGCACACTCAGAACACTTACATTAGCCTACAGTTGGCCAAAACAATGTTACCAACGCCCAATTTATAATAACATGTTGAATATCCCATAAGTTACTGAATACTACACTGAAGGTGAAAAACATAATAGTCACATCAGCACTTGAACTATGCACTTTACTCAATATCCTTCTGGCACCACGATAACAAATTCAATAGCAAAGCATAAACTAAAAACACTCATTGGAATTCACAAATGAAACAAAAAACCGTTAAAACAACAAAACCAATTAAACTGCACCATACAAGTTATTCTCAACCAAAGTTTAAAACTAACACTCCAACAGTATTCTACATACAGTAGAAAAAAGATAAACCAGGATCGTCAGGAAGAATCAGATAGGAGCAATCAGAGTGTTGCAGGCTCTGATTACGCAGAGACGTATAATCACGTATCATGCGAACTCCAATCATCATTTTCTCATCTGCACTCCAAAAGGAGTAACAGGTAAGGATTATCCCACCTGACGATAACAAGCCTGCCGTGGCATTCCGTACTCAGCATATAAAATATCTCTATAAGCTAGGGTGACTAATGAACGCATTAGTCCTAGCAACCTGACCACTTAAAGTCCTTCCAATTATATTGCTGCATATCTTTGAGTTGCTTTAAAATATTTTTTTTTATTCCGTTCGGCTGCGGAAAAGGGATAAACAACTCCCCCCAGAATGCTCCGCTCATTCGGATGGAAGTCCTAGCCGTAAGCCCCATTTATTTACATATCTCCGCCCACTGCCTTCCGCCAGGCATTTACCGTAATAATCAAAATAGAAGCGATACCTTCTATCTTAAGCTCTGCAGGACTGGAAAACAGCCTTTCTTTTTTCTCCAGTAGTTTCACCAAACTAGTTGTCCCGTGAAAATTGTATAACTCTTAATCTTATTATAAAATACATTTTATGACAAAGTACTACGCTGATAATACCAGACTTGGGAGATGATTTTACCAACACTGACATCTTCCACCAAAAGCAGTTTCAGGGGCGAGGACGGAAGCCTATGCCTTCCTTCTTCCAGGAATGGTAAGCGGCCCTTGCTCCTCTGGACTTCATCCTCAAGTTCCCGTCATTAAAGTGATCAGAAAGGTTTCTTTTTCAGCCCAAATACAGCGACGAATAATGCCATTTCAGTAACAGCTGGGAGGACACTGCAGAAGGCAGGTGGTGGGTTCAGGTCCCCTTCCAATGTAAAGAACCAATTCTCCAAATCAGAGACCCTACCCCCAAAGTGCAGAGGGAGTGGGATGGGGGTGTGTGAAACTTGGAAAGACTCCAGGATGAATGGATCTGGTATTTCACACATACAGGAAAGGGCGGGGTGGGGGAAAATCTTCAGAAGTGGGGGAAACCTTCCTCCCTCATCCCCAAATATTGGGTGCTACCACACCTGCAGAAGGCAAAAATGTACCAGTACGTCGTGCACTCCCAACGCTCGAATATGAAGAAAGAAAGGGCCACAGACGCACTACAGTGAGCTCCAATGGCTTGGAAAGCACCAGAGTCAAGGAAAGTTCTTTGGACAGACAGGTTAGTGATGGGCCAGAAAAGGACAGTGGTCAGCCCTCCAGTTCATCTCTTGCTCCCTCACCATACTGTAAGGGCTAGTCAGTAGCCCTGCCTTCTTAGTTTTAGGACAGCCAAGTGAGGAGAGGCAAGAGCTGAACCTACAAAGAGGGACATCCAGCTAAGCCCACCCCATTTCTAAGGACTGGCTTGGACCCTTTAGGTGGGGTATGGGTAGGCTCTCCACCTACCCTAGGTCACACAGGAATGCTCACAGTGACTTGATACACTCTGCTGGACTCAGCCTCTAGTGCCCTGGTCCTCCTGACCCACAATTCAAGAGTCAAGAGCCTTCCCTGATCCATGTGCCTCACTTCCTTTGTCTTTTCTGAGTTCTTATAGTGCTTTGTATCTTTACACACTCCTGTAGCATAGTGCTTATCACACTGAATTACAGATGTGTGTCTGCTTCCTCCTCAAGGTAGAAAACTCTGTTTCACTCTCATTTTGCACTCCCCAGTGACTAGTGCCTAGCTTAATAGGTGTTTGAAGATTGTATTAAATTTCTCACAATGCCTAAGATTTTTTTTTTTTTTTTTTTTTTTTTGAGACAGTCTTGCTTTCTTGCCCAGGCTAGAGTGAGTGCCGTAGGGTAAGCCTAGCTCACAGCAACCTCAAACTCCTGGGCTCAAGCAATCCTTCTGCCTCAGCCTCCCGAGTAGCTGGGACTACAGGCATGCGCCCGGCTAATTTTTTCTATATATACTAGTAGGCCAATTAATTTCTTTCTATTTATAGTAGAGACGGGGTCTCGCTCTTGCTCAGGTTGGTTTCGAATTCCTGACCTCCAGCAATCTGCCCGCCTCGGCCTCCCAGAGTGCTAGGATTACAGGGTGAGCCACGGAGCCCGGCCAACAATGCCTAAGATCTTTTAACTGGAGAGATTCTTGCCGGCTAGGGCAGACAACTATTGTACTAGAAAGGCCTAGCTGCGTGGCTGTAGGGAGTCGAGTCGTGATGGAAATAGAGTCGTATGGGAAAGGTGGGCGGGAGCAAGGATACAGATGAGGCTCTGGGTGCTGTTGAACATGGAGACTCCTGAGAGGAAACCGGCCAGCTCCACTGCAAAGAGGCCCAGGGTGACAGAGAGCGCTACCACCAGCCTGCAGAGAAGAAGGGAACTGGCTCAGGCCTTCTGGACTTCAGACCCCTCCACTCTCACCATCTCTTTGTTCTGACCACCCTGGCCCAAGAGCTCACTGAGTGTCCTGCTTCCCATACTCCTCGGGGGTGAACCTGAGTGGCAGGCAGGCCAGGATGTTGCTGTCCTGGGAGCAGAGAGAAAGAAGAGTGAAAAAAGGGCGGGCTGTGGGGCAGGCCTAGGGGCTGAAGGGAATGGGAGGACCCACGTGAGTAAGACCCTCAAGGAAGGGGCACGGCTGGGCTGGGACCACTCGGAGTTGGGAATGGGGGTGTGACTAGGGCAGTCGCGGGTCTTACGCGAGACCAGAATAAGGTGATGACGACCACTAGATGCGCCAGGAGCGTCAGGAAGCGAGAGGGCACGAGCCCGGAGATCCGGCCCATGGCCCTCGGGGACAGGAGCACCGCCAGACGTGGATGCCGCGAGCTCTGAGGCTGGAAGTCCAAGTTCGGGGACGACCACTTCTAGAAGTCTCCCGGGCAAGCGGGCAAAATCTCGGCGAACACCTCCTTCCCGCTCGCTCAGGCACCGCCCAGTTGCCTTGGTAACTGCGTACGCGGGCGCGGCGTTTAGGGCTCTAAAACTCTCGCGAGAGCAGTGAATTCTCACGCCGCTGCGGGCCTCCCGGAGAGTGTAGTTGGGGGTACCCCCGTAGGTGGTGCAGACTCGGGGTGACTCGATCGCTGGCTACCTGCGTGGAGCTAAACGGCCTACACGGGAGAGTGTGCAGTGTGGCGCGGCCCTGCATTGCCCAGTGTGCCCACACAGGGCCGGCGAACGGAAACCCGCCCTGCCCTAGTCCGGGGACGTCCCTGCCGCCCAGATACCCACGCCGGGAGTCCGCGGCCCTCAGCCCCCGCCGCTGCCCAGGGTGGCCCTCCGCGTAAGAGTTGATCACCCGAGAGCGCTGTCACCGCCACGCCCTAGGCACGGACTCTCCCCTTCCCCTCCTTCGCATCCTTTTAGCTTCCCACTGCTCTGGGTCCGAGAGAGAAGGGGATCGAACGTGGAGGGGCGAGCGCCCCTAGATTATCCGGCATCCACATATTTTTACGGAGCCCTTGATTGTCCGAGGATCCCAGGCCTGAATCTTCCTTGAGGAAGACTCCGATTTCCCCCAGACAACTGTGCTCAGATTGGTGAGGGATTTGCAGCGTGCAGAAATGGCCAGAGTCCTTTAATTAGGACGTGGATGAAAGGTGCGTTTTGGGAGCAGACTAGAGCACCGAGGCCAGAAAGACTGGGAGTGGAGGAAGGAAATGGAACAGCCCCTGCGTCCTTGGGAGGTTTAGAGCTGGCTGGGTAGCAAAATCAGCTCCATTTCACTATTTTTTTGAGGTGCTGGGCCTCCGACATGACCCAGCTACAGTCCAAGTACCTCTAACACGGCATGACCTCACTGACCTTTGGGCCTCAACGGAGATCCCTCAAGGGACCTCCTGGCTCATTTCCCAGGAGAACAGATGGATCCTCAGGCTAAGCACACCCCATTTTTAATGGCCAGCTTGAACCCTTCATGTGGGGTAAGAAGAGTAGGCGCCCCACCTACCTCAGGCGACTCCCCATCTCAGTGCCTTCAAGCCAGTCTAAACTACAAGCCCAAGAAGTATTCATTCATTCATTCAACAAATATTTATGTATTTCTTGAGCATCTAGTAAATGCCAGGCACTGTGCTGGGCACTTAGGAGTACATTGATGAATAAGACAAAAGTCTGTGCCTTGGTCGAGTTTATATTCTAGTCAGGGAGATCAACAAACGTGCCAACAAATAACAAGTCTTCAAGGTAATAGGTGCTATAAGTAAATTTTAAAAGGGCAAACTAGAATAATAGGATCTAGAAAAGGCTTTTTTAAAATGGACCATTTCTTCTTAAATTTGGTTTTAGAAAATTTGGCCAAAAATCAGAAGGAATGCATTTCTCTCTTCCAGGCCCCTAAAATGATAAGTGGATTTTCTTTTTCTAAACCAGTGAGTGAAAAAAATTCAGAACTGAAAGTCAAATGTTTTTGGTCAAAATCATGAAAGACAAAGACTGAGGAGCTCTTCCAAATTAAGGGAGACCAAAGAGAGGTGACAGATTTGGCGTCAAAAATTTAATGTGTGATCCTGGATGAGATCCAGGACCAGGAAAATAACTTTCTTTTATTATAAAGGACAGCAGTGGGACAATTGGCGAAATTTTAATAAGGTTTATAGCTTAGGTAATAACATTGTATCAGTGTATATTTCCTGATTTTTGATAACTGTACTGTCCTTGTGTAAGAGAATGTCCTAGGTAGAAATACACACTGAAGTACTTAAGAGTAAAGGGGCATTTTGTCTGCAACTTCTCCAAAATGGTTTAGAAAAAATTGTTATGTGTAGAAAGATGATGATGAGGCATGCATGAGGTGAAGCTACATTGGAATTCTTTGCATTATTTTTGCAACTTTTCTGTAAATCAAATTATTTTTGTTAAAAAATCTTTTAGTCGTGGCGAGGTGGCTCACGCCTGTAATCCTAGCACTCTTGGAGGCCGAGGACGGTGGATTGTTTGAGCTCAGGAGTTCGAGACCAGCCTGGGCAAGAGCGAGACCCCATGTCTACTAAAAATAGAAAGAAATTAATTGGCCAACTAAAAATATATATAGAAAAAATTAGCCGGGCATGGTGGCACATGCCTGTAGTCCCAGCTACTCAGGAGGCTGACGCAGGAGGATCGCTTGAGCCCAGGAGTTTGAGGTTGCTGTGAGAGAGGCTGACGCCATGGCACTCTAGCCCAGGCAACAGAGTGAGACTCTGTCTCAAAAAAATAAAAAAATAAAATAAAATAAAAAGGAAGGAATGATTTCTAGGACTGAGCATCTCTAAATGTTGTTAGAAACTACATGTTGAAATTACATTTTTGTACAAAACCATCTCTTTTTCTTTCTTTCTTTTTTTTTTTGAGACAGAGGCTCACTCTAGAGTGAGCCTGGCTAGAGTGCAGTGGCATCATCATTGCTCACTACAACCTCAAACTCCTGAGCTCAAGCTGGAGTAGCTAGGACTACAGGTGCATGCCAGCATGCCCAGCTAATTTTTCTATTTTTTATGAAGAAAGGGGTCTTGCTCTTGCTCCAGCTGGTCTTGAACTCCTGACCTGGACTGATCCATCCTCCCGCCTCAGCCTCCCAGAGTGCTAGGATTACAGCCAGGAACCACTGCACCTGACCAAAACCACCTCTTTAGAAGGCAACACTGGCAGCACGGCTCCTCAAAAAAAAAGAAAAAAGAAGTCAACACAGTGAGGGAAAAATGCAGGTTCTTGATCACATAACAAGGAACACTGTGTCCTAGCCTGGAGAGCTCAGCAAAATTGTTACAAAGTAGACTAAACAAGTACCAAGATAAACTTGCTTGGGTGCCTCAGCACTTTCTTGCCCTGAAAGTCAGCTCAAACTGGCACCGACTGCTTTGAAGCTGCTCTGGTTATCCTACTTAATTGCAATATGAAAATTTCCGCCTAGTGAAAAATTGTGTTATCATTAACATAACATGGGCTTATGACAGCATATGATGATGGTACTGTGCCCGCGTGGTAATATGTTTTACTGTGAACAAGCAAAGATACAATGTAAAACTTGTGTATTACTCATAGGAAAGGGATTTAAGGCAACATCACAGGGTGGGTAGATGGAGGTTTTGCTAGCAAGAAAGCTCCTGTGGAAGAAGTTTCTGTGCGGCCCAGGAGCAAGCCCCCTAGTAAGTAACCTCTAATAAACTCATCTAACTCATCACACTGGTCTTGTTTGAGTTATTCTTTGGTCTCTGGGTTCCCTCTCAGTTTGGGGGTAGTTTTTCTATACTGGCCTGGGATTTTCATGAAACACACAGCCTTTTCCTCATAATAGAGATGATGTGATCACCAAAACTTGATTTTTATCCTTATAAAATAAAAATTGTAGGCTGGGTGCGGTGGCTCATGCCTGTGATCCTAGCACTCTGGGAGGCTGAGGCAGGTGGATTGCTCCAGGTCAGGAGTTCGAAACCAGCCTGAGCAAGAGTGAGACCCCGTCTCTACTATAAATAGAAAGAAATTAATTGGCCAACTAATATATATATATATAGAAAAAATTAGCCGGGCATGGTGGCGCATGCCTGTAGTCCCAGCTACTTGGGAGGCTGAGGCAGAAGGATCGCTTGAGCCCAGGAGTTTGAGGTTGCTGTGAGCTAGGCTGATGCCACGGCACTCACTCTAGCCTGGGCAACAAAGCAAGACTCTGTCTCAAAAAAAAAAGTTAAAAAAAAAGAAAGAAATTAATTGGCCAACTAATATATATAGAAAAAAATTAGCCAGGCATGGTGGCGCATGCCTGTAGTCCCGGCTACTCGGGAGGCTGAGGCAGCAGGATCGCTTGAGCTCAGGAGTTTGAGGTTGCTGTGAGCTAGGCTAACGCCACAGCACTCACTCTAGCCTGGGCAACAAAGCGAGACTCTGTCTCAAAAAAAATAAAAATAATAAAATAAATAAAAATAAAAATTGTGAAAATTTCTACTTTACTGAGGAATTGTTTTTTGAAAGACAGAGGTTTAGCAAAGTTCCTTTACTTCCTATTCAAATATAATAATATTGGCTGATAACCAGACATTATCCACACTGGTTTCTCAGCTCTGGTATGTAGAGAAAGTTCTCTTCTTAACTGGTGGACCCTTTCAGAGTTCTCAAAATATTTTCAAACCTCCTCCATCTTGGGAGAGACAAGCAAAACCATCAAATACAGTGGACACCACTGCTTTTCTCCTTTCAAGCAGCCATCATTGCCATTTGACTCCTAAAATGATGACAGTGATGGCAGCTAACTTACAATGAGAGACGAGCTTCCTATATTCTCCAGCAAGTGTGCAAATATCCTTAAGACCTAGACATGTGAGGACTGAAGGGCTCCTCATACTTTCCTTCCCTCTGCCTGTAGCTTATATGCATTTTCTCTCCTGGTAGTAGAAAACCCAGGCCTTCAGAACTGAGCTCCCCCAGTGTCAGCTTATCAAGTTTGACTGTTCACAGATGAAAAAAGCTGTGTCGTAGGGAAAAAGTGAGGAAAATCCAGGACCCGCTTTTGCAAGGTTTTCCAAGGTCCCTGAACAGAATGAAGAGAAGCAGCCATATGAAAATCTGGGGAAAGAGCATTCCAGGCAGAAGAAATGTCAAGTGAAAAGGTGATGGGAACAAACCTGGTGTATTTGTTGAACAGTAAGAAAGCCAGCATTTCTGAAGTTTAGTGATGGAAGGAAAGATCACAGTGAAGTTGGATAGGTGTCCAAGGGCCAAATCATGTCATGTCTTGCTGCGCAGGGAGGCACATGGTCAGACTTAACATTCTAGAAGATGAGTCTGGTTGTGACCTGGAGAACAGATTTTAAGCAGATTTCAAGCAGAAGGCCAATGAGGAAGCCTTAAAGTTATCTGGAAGGGACAGGAAGGGCCTTGGACCACAGTGGAGCCAAGAAGGTAGAGTGAAGTAGGGGTTACCAAGAGTTATTTAGAAGATAAAGAAGGTCTGGACATAGGGCTGTGGGTGTGTGAGGAAAAGGGAGGGTCAAGGATGACTTAGATTTTGGGCTCTGACAGCTGGAGGTTTGGGACATTCTGCTTATAATAGGCTTCTTGTGCAGGGGACCCACTAGAAAGTAAAAACTGGGTAGTCACATTTCATGTAATGAATTAACAGTGAGTGAGCTGTCCTGTCATTTTCTATGACCTTGGTTCACAGAAGCCTGCCCTACAGAGAAGCTATTTCTAGCCTGCTCACTGAGTTTTAGAGCCAGCCAGTGAGCATAGGAGGTACTGATGATGGCCAGGTGTCCTTCCCCAGGTGGCCACTCACTCCAGGGGTGGGACTCACATGTCCTCACGTTGGAACTGGTAATAAAAGGACTTAAAAAAATGTTTTTATTATGGAAAAATTCAAACATATGTAAAAACAAAGAAAATAGTGTAATGAAGCCCTCCATTCTGCCCCAGCAATTATCAACACATGGAAACCTTGTTTCCCTTCCAACTCCCACTAGGTTATTTTGAAGCAAATCCTAGATATTATAAGTAATTCAAGTGGCCAACTCTGCCCCGCCCACCGTGGTGGCTCACACCTGTAATCCTAGCACTCTGGGAGGCGGAGGTGGGTGGGATCCTTTCAGTGTCCTGAGTTCGAGACCAGCCTGAGCAAGAACATCACCCCGTCTCTACCGAAAAATACATAGAAAAAATTAGCTGGGCATGGTGGCACATGCCTGTAGTCCCAACTACTCAGGAGGCTGAAGTGAGAGGATCCCTTGAGCCAAGGAGTTTGAGGTTGCTGTGAGCTAGACTGACGCCACAGCACTCTCTCTAGCCTGGGCAACAAAGTGAGACTCTGTATTAAAAAAAAAAAAAATTATTTTGGGTATAAACCTAGGTGTGAAATTTCTGGGTCATGTGGCAAGTCTATGTTTAACTTTTTTTCAAGCAACTGCCAAACTGTTTCCCAAAATGACTGTGCCATTCTCCATTCCCACCAGCAACGTATGAGGATTCCACTTTCTCCACATCTTTGCCAACACTTGTTACTTTTCTCTCCCTCCCTCCTTCCTTTTTTCTATTATAACCATCCTAGTGGAATATCTCATTGTGATTTTGATTTGCATTTCTGTAATGACTAATGATGTTGGACATATTTTCATGTATTTTTTCTTTTTTTTGAGACAGAGTCTCACTCTGTTGCCTGGGCCTCTGACTCCTGGGCTCAGGCGATCCTCCTGCCTCAGCCTCCCGAGTAGCTGTGACTACAGGCCTGTGCCACTACACCCAGCTAATTTTTAAATTTTTTTGTAGAGATACATCTCGGTACTCTGTTTTATTCATTTATTTATATTTTATTTATTTATTTATTTTTGAGACAAAGTCTCACTGTGTTGCCCGGGCTAGAGTGAGTGCTATGGCATCAGCCTAGCTCACAGCAACCTCAAACTCCTGGGCTCCAGCAATCCTGCTGCCTCAGACTCCCAAGTAGCTGGGACTATAGGCATGTGCTACCATGCCCGGCTAATTTTTTCTATATATTCTATATACATTAGTTGGCCAATTAATTTCTTTCTATTTATAGTAGAGACGGGTCTCGCTCTTGCTCAGGCTGGTTTTGAACTCCTGACCTTGAGCAATCTGCCCACTTCAGCTTCCCAGAGAGCTAGGACTACAGGCATGAGCCACCGCGCCTGGCCTGGTACTGTGTTTTAAAGTAACTTTAGGCCAGTGGAATGGCTCATACCTGTAATCCTAGCACCAAGACTAGCCTAGGCAACACAGTGAGATACCAAAAAAAAAAAAAAAAAAAAAGAAGAAGAAGAAGAAGAAAAAATTAGCCAGACTTGGAAGGATCACTTGAACCCAGGAGTTCAAAGTTACAGTGAGGTATGATTGTACTGCTGCACTTGAGCATGGGAGACAGAGTGAGACACTGTCTCTAAAAATAAATTTTTGTACATAGCAACAAAATGATCCTTGAGTTGCTTTTTAATTTTAAAGTATGTCACTTTAAGTAATTCTTCTCTAGTGGGTTAAGTTACAAACTTATTTTACTATTAGGTTCAGTGGTTTCATTCTACTTTTGACTTTTATGAATTGTTTTTATTGTCTATATAGAAAATCTCAAAGAATCTACAAAAACTCCTGGAACTATTAATAATAAGCAAGTATAGCAAGGTCACCAGATATAAGGTCAATCTACAAAAGTCAACTGCCTTCCTAAATACCAGCAATGAACAATTAGATATTAAAAAAAAATTACAATAGCACCAAAGAAAAGAAAATAAAGAATTACTTAGGTATAAATCTAACAAAATGTATACAGGATCTGTACGCAGAGAACTACACTGATGAAAGAAATCAAAGAAGATCTAAATATACAGAAAGACATATCATATTCATGGATTGGAAAATTCAATATTGCTAAGATGTCAATTTTTCCCAATTTGATCTCAATGAAATCCCAGTCAAAATCCCAACAAGCTATTTTGTACATAGCAACAAAATGATCCTAGAGTTTATATGGATTGCTTTTTAATATTAAATTGTTAATTTAATTTTGTTTTTAAATTATGTTGAACATTTACATGGCTCCAAAGTTGAAATCTACAAAATAAAATATATTTGGAGAAGTTAGGCCTCCATTCTGTCCTTCCTCCTGCCACTCCAGGTAAACCATTTTAATAGTTTTGGCTTACCCTTCCATTAAAAATAACACACACACACACACACACACACACACACGCACACACACATGTTTGACAACAATTTTATAGCATGTTATAACTGAAAATAATTTTTTTTTATGAGACAAGGTCTTGCCATGTTGCCCAAGCTGGTCTCAATCTCTTGGGCTCAAGTGATTCTCCTGTCTCAGCCTCTCAAGCAAGATGAAAACTCTTTAATCTCCATGACCTGATTTGATCCTCACAACTCTCACAGGCAAGCTGGGTAGGAATAACCTACATGTTACATAATTTAAAAAGAGAAAGTTAAGCAACTGGCTAAAGTAACAACTAATATATGATACAGACTGGGATTCTAAAGGCTTTTCTGGAGCTACAGCCCATTGTCTGGACCCTAAATAACACCACTATGTCTGCCACTATGAAAAAGCAGCTAGGGAGCTGGCAGGAAAATAGGAAAGTAAGCGAAGAAAGTATCTTAAGAAGGAAGGATTAATTAACTGTGTTGAGTGCTGCTGAGATGCTGAATGCATTGTCTCTTAAACCTCACCCTCTATGAGGTAGACCCAGATAAGGAAGCTGAGGCACAGAGCAATATATTTATCTGTCTGAGGCCATAGAGTCTGTAATGGGTGACAAACCCAGTTGGACTTGAAAATCTGAGCTCCTTTTTTTCTTTTTTTGAGACAGAGTCTCATTCTCTTGCCCCGGCTAGAGTGCCATGGGGTCAGCCTAGCTCATAGCAACCTCAAACTCCTGGGTTCGAGCAATCCTGCCTCAGACTCCCAAGTAGCTGGGACTACAGGCGTGAACCACCACACCTGGCTAGTTTTTCTATTTTTAGTAGAGACCATGTCTCTACTCTTGCTCAGGCTGATTTCAAATTCTGAGGCTGAGCTCAAGCAATCCTCCCACCTTGGCCTCCCAGAATGCTAGGATTACAGGTGTGAGCCACCGCGTCTGGTATGATTTCCAACTTCAAAATGAAAAAATGAGAAAAAAAAATCACAAACAAACCTTGATGGCAACAGTATACAATGTCCCTTCAGTCTACCAGCTTTCAGCTTCTGGGCTGGTGCTGTCCAACAGAACTTTCTTTGATGATGAAAATATTATATATTGTCTCTGTCCAACATGGTAGCCAGCTAACACATTACATGTGGCTCATGGCTACCATATTGGGCAATGTGAACAGAGTGAAGTTATTTATTGATTTCTAAAATTTGAAAACTGTTAGAATGAAAAGAGGAGAAACATCACAGTACACTCTTCACAAGTGCTGCAGAACCACTCTGTGACTAGAGAACAACTCCATGTTCCCTGGTAACCATATTCACCGACCCAACTTCCCTTTCTAGCAAAATTTTCTAACTCACCCCAATGCTCTTCAGCTACCCAGACATGTCTCCTTCTTCTTTAAGCTAGGCTCTTGCCCACCCCATTGCTTTTGCTAAAGCCATTCTCACTAATTTCACAAATATTTATTGAACATATATTCCAGGAATTGTGCTGGATACTAGGAATATATATTTCCTACTCTCTAGTAGTCTAGTGAGGGACACACCAAGGGAACAACTAAACTCTGGTATTTTCAGTGTCATCCTGAGGAGACATAGGAAGGGTCTTCTCCCCAAGAAGCGAAGAGGAGTTTCTGAGTGAGTCCTGTGTGGTCTGGAAGGGCCAGCCAGGTAACCAAGAATTGGAAAGACCATCAAGCGATACCAGGGACGATGGCACAGACAGTAGAGACTGGGGTGAGTTTAGGCAACTGTAAAGGAGTCAGCATGGTTGTCATATGGGAGGTGAGGGGACATGGCTAAAGAATCAAGCAAGTTCCAGGTAGTAGTAGTAATAATAATAACAATGACTGAGTAATGATTCCCAGCCAGGCTCTGAACACTTAATCTGTAGTAAATAAATTAATAGTTATTAACCTTTATCATTTTAAAGATGGGGACATTGAGACACAGGAGGTTTTTAAAAAGTATCCTAAGCCGAGTGTGGTGGGTGGCTGCTGTAGTTTCAGCTACTGGGGAGGCAAAGCCGGGTGAGTGGATGGATTGCGTGAGGCCAGGACTTCCAGGCTGTAGTGCGTAATCATTGCGCCTGTGAATAGCCACTCTACTCCAGCCTGGGCAACACAGGGAAACCCCGTACCTAAAACAAAACAAAGACAAAAATCTAGCCCTAATTACACAGCTGATAAGTAGCAAAGCACATGTCCCTTGAGATCCCTGACAACCTGGTTCCAGAGCTCACATGCTTAACAGTACCACTCTATTGCTTGACTTTGGAGGTCAGCTAAGTAGTTAAGACTTAATCCCGAAAATGATGGACTACTAGCTTAAGCTCGTCCCCACGGGTCAAGGGGACAAGCACAGGCACCGCCCTTGCAGGTGTTCAGAATGGCAGGACAGTCCTTGGTTTCCAGGTCATGATCATTAGACCCCGGCCACCTGGCCGCACAGTGGTCAAGAGGAGACCTGTTCACCCCTGTGGCCGGCTGACCTCGTGGCGCAACGGTAGCGCGTCTGACTCCAGATCAGAAGGTTGCGTGTTCAAATCACGTCGGGGTCACTTTTTCTCTTAGGACTTTTATTTACTTACGCTTATTTTGGACTGTTTTCCAGCCCCAGCGTTCAGGTCAGAGAAGAAGCAGTATTTCTTAGAAGCCGAAAGGGAAGGGCTTCTGGTTCTAAGTCCCGAAGCCGCCCCGTCGGAGGATTCTAACACTCTCCAGTGGGTTTTTGCGGCGGATCCGAATACGGTAATTCTGGGTGAATATCCGGGCTCCTAAAGACAGGCGCAGCTCGAGACTGCTCAGCCCAGAGGGAAAAGGGTCGGGTAATCGCTCAGGCAAGGAGGTCTCTTGGTCTCCGGCTTCGCGGTGCTGGGCAGGCTCCTACCTAACGCTCTCCCTTCGTGACAGAGGCGGCCCCCAGTCAGGAGTATGAGTTCAGGCCCCAGAGAAGAAACTGTGAGCCACTTTTCTGCAGACGAGGTGGCCGAGTGGTTAAGGCGATGGACTGCTAATCCATTGTGCTCTGCACGCGTGGGTTCGAATCCCATCCTCGTCGGCTTGCACTACGGTTTTGTAGTGTCAAAACTAGCATATTCTTGTTTCTCTCGGTCTGCCCCAGCCCCATTCAGCTTCCGTGTTTGGCACTCTTTCACTTCCCCAACGAAGTCCTTTGTCCCATCACATTTTCTAGTACAGCTTCAAATCAGAGGCCACTTTTACAGTCAGTCACCGACCATACAGCTGATTTGGCCAGAGAAATACGCTGCCATGGCCTTCACGGAAGGCGCCGTGGCTTAGTTGGTTAAAGCGCCTGTCTAGTAAACAGGAGATCCTGGGTTCGAATCCCAGCGGTGCCTCAGTACTTGCCCTGCTTTTGCATAGACCCTGCTATGAAAGTCACAGGGCTTTGCAGCATCTGGCCTACATAATTTCCCACGTTTCCAGCTATCCTCTTTCACGGAATCTGCCGGGTGACCTCAGGCATCTTGCGTTTCTGGTCGGGTGGGTGTTATGAACCTTTTGTACTTCCTGCACGTCATATTTGCTCCTGAACTTGCAACCAAGTGCCGAAGTCCCATCATCTGTGCTTGCCAGTATCGCGACCTGGCTGTCACTTGTCTAAATACTCAGTGAATCAGTTTTCGTATTCTACTTTCATGTCTTCTAGAATAGTTTTACCACTTAAAGATTCCCTCGAGATAGGGTGGAGCAGTATATATGCACTTACATGATTTCATATCCACCACTTGTCCTCAACTGGCCGGTTAGCTCAGTTGGTTAGAGCGTGGTGCTAATAACGCCAAGGTCGCGGGTTCGATCCCCGTACGGGCCAGGAGTTCTCTTTTTAGAAAACTAGATGTTAATTTTTGGAGACAAAAAATGTAACTGGGGAAAGCTCTTGAAGCAATATTTCCGATCCTGGAACACATCACGCCTGTAAGAGAAACGTATTGTAGTTCAGTCTAAAGTGGGAGTGTCTTGAGGAGGATGACTTTAGAGAAACCAGAATTCTTTCTAAATCTTACGACCATAACATGTGGCTCCTGAACTTACTATGTGATTTGTAAACAGAAGGTGCTAGGGGTTAGGACAAGCTTTTCTCACACTATTACATGTGGCACTAATCAGAATTCTTTCTAAATCTTATGACCATAACATGTGGCTCCTGAACTTACTATGTGATTTGTAAACAGAAGGTGCTAGGGGTTAGGACAAGCTTTTCTCACACTATTACATGTGGCACTAATCAGCAGAGTGGGAGAAATGGTCAGGAGCTGACAATTGTTCCCAGTCTTCCTTCACAGCCAAGATGTCCAATCCAACCAGCCCCTGCCGTCCATCAGGACCTGAGAAAAAAAAACCTTCCCTTCCTCTTCTAGAACACCTGGCTTGTGTTTCTGCTTTCACTGGTTCTCTGGGCTCCTGTGAGTGATTACCTGTGTCACATTTCCCCTCAAATCCACTGCCTAATAGCAGGAACCATATCCTTCCCCATCAACCTGGGACCCCCACCCCATTCCTAGCAAGGGCCACAAGACCCACCCTCATTCCCATTCCTTTGGCTCATCAATCACTGCAGCCCCACACAGACAGAGCCTCAGCCTTAGCAGCAGCAGCACTTTAATTCCACAAAAACTCAGAAAGCCAAAACTGATTAGAACATTCCACAACAGGTGGGCTTCAAAACCAGCAACAATTCTACCTGAACTCTGAGAGCAGTGAAATACCTCCCACCTCACCCCCTCCACCATACGATGCATTCCTCCCAGCTCCACCCGGGTTCCGGCTGGCAAAGTGGTATGGTAGAGGCCAGAGGGCAGAAGCAGGAGGTTATCCATCTCTAGGTGTGCATCCTTGCCTGCATGGTATTTGGCCAAGGACTACTCAAGCTCCCCCAGCCCCTGGCACCTGAGATGTGGCCTTTGGAGTCAGGATGGCCACAGTGGGGTCTGGGACCTTCTCTGTTCCCTTCTCTTGATCACATATGGGAGTCATGTCCTCACCTTCAAACCAAGTCCTAAAGCCCTGTGTTCCCAGGAATGGTGCTCTAGTTAAGGAGGAGAGTTGGAAAGAACAGGTTAGCTGCAGATGGCCAACTGAATAGAAGCAGAGCAACATCCCTTCCCCCCAGGACAGCCCCCATATACACCGGCCTAAGGCCCAGAGAGGGCACCGGCCTGCACAACTGTAAGAGCCTCCAACACAAAGGCCTCCCTCAGCCAGCAGTTCCCACCAGGGCTCCATGAAGAGTCCTTAGGGTCCTCCTGCACCCCGCTCTGGCCATCCCGGCCTCTCCTGCCCCCCTAGTCATTTGCACAGGGCCTCCAACACCTCCAGAGTGCGTCGGATATCCCGGACTTGGCGCGCCAGCCCCTGAACCGGCTGCAGAGCTCGCTCCAGCTCTTCGCAGCGTGCCAGCAGGGTGTACATTCCCTTGATGCTCATGTCCACGGCTTCTCCTAAGGAGTCCACGGCGTCGCGGTAGGTCTGAATGCAGCCCACGCTCAGCGCGGTCAGCTCCTGCACCGCGCCACCCAACCCGCGAAGCAGACGGTCCACCCGGCCGCCCAGCTCCCGACTCAGCCGCTCCAGATCCCGCAGCACGTCGGGGTCGATGGGCTGGATGACTGGTGTGGGTGTGGCTGCAGGCGCTGGGCAGGGCCGCGCAGGGGCAGGGGGCAGGGGGGGAGGGACGCCACTCAGACGGATCTTGAGTTGCAGGTTGTTGGCGACAAAGTGGGTGAGGTCGCCGTGGCGGCTCACTGTACCCTCCAGCTCCAGGGGGCTGGAGATGGTGGCCCGGCGCCCGCCGCCGGCCCCAGACTCCGCACACCCTGAGGACCCGGCGCCGCCACACGCCCCGCTCAGCCCGTCCAGGCTGCGGCTGTCCTGAAGGCGACTAGAGAACGAGCGGCCAGCCCTGCCCGCAGCCGCCGCCTCCTCGTCGTTGTCTTCCTCTTCATGCTGTTGCTCAACATTCATCTCGTCGCTTCCCGGGCTCCCTCGACGGCAGACCCTCTCGGACGCAGGCTCGTCCTCGGGAGGCTCAGGGTCCTTGTGCCGGGAGGACAGGGGAGGGTCGTGCTCGGCACCTGGCGCCCCCCGGCGGCTCCGGGCCCCAGACAGCGTCCCTTGGGGCCCAGGCTCGTCTTCCCGAGCCTCCTGAGCCGGCCGGTGGAAAACGCTGCAGCTCGAAGTCTTCGGGGACGCCCTGGGGTGGCGGCTCGCGCCCCCAACGTTCTCGGCCTCTTCCTTCCCGGACACTCGGAGGCCTGAGGGCGGCTCAGAGGGCGTTCGGCCTGGCCCACCGCCGAAGATCGCGGCCTGCTGTTCCGCTGGAGCCCGAAGGTCGGCCTCGGGCCCGGGCCGCCCCCGAGGCGACTCCATACTGCAGGTGGGGGCCGGAACCGATGAATTGGTTCGCCGGGCGCTCCAGAGGCGGTGGCGGCGCCTTTAAGGGGCGTTGTAGAGGCGCGCCGATTGGCAGCAGGTCCACAATGGTAAGGACAGGAAGAGCACTTTGATTGGTCGCGGCGACCAGGAAGTCCCGGAAGGAGAGCTGTTATTGAACAGCCGAACACACGTGACAGCCAGCCGGGTGGAGAGAAGGCGGTGACAACTTAGCTCGTTGCCCCGCCCTTTCAGAAAGTTGAGGGGGCAGATCTTAAAGTCCGAGGTCCCGAAATACCGGACTCCCGCGGGGGCGGGGCTCCGACTCTTCACGCATCGTCGTCTGGCCCAGTTATTGCTTAGCGGATGCCACAAATGGGAACAAGACTTGGGGTTCCTAGGAAGGTTCTTGGGATGGAAATAGTATATCCTGCTCTGACCATCGGGTTGAGGCCCTCCTAGTTGACTAAGGATGAAATCAGAATTCTCAGCATGAGCGTGAATGGTTCGTTCCTTCTCGCTGGGTTGACAGACCCATCCGTTAAACTGCCCACAGTGACTCATTGTGGTCGGCGCAGCGGGCCTATGGCCTTAACTGTGCTTTTGCCACTCTGTCCTCTGTCTCCTGCCCTCTCCACGTTGAGAGTACCTTCCCTTGGAGAATGGTGTGTGATTTTGCCATGAGTTAAAATAGTCAACAAATGAAATGATCACAAATTTTGATATGCACTATGTAGGAAATAAAGTGTTACGACTGAGAGTAACTGAGCAGGCACTAGTTTAGTTAAGGGGTCAGAAAAGGCTTCTTTGATGAAAAGGCTTTTAACTGAAAAGAACCAGAAAGAGCCAGACACCTTCCAGGCAGAGGGAAGAACAACTTGGGCTAAGTCTCAGAGACAAAGAAGGCTTGATATATTAAAGGAACTGGGTTGGAGGCCGGAGGCATTGAGGCGGAAACAAAATGAGTGAAGGGAAGGACTTCAAGGGGCTGAAGAAGCAGGCAGGGGCCACATCACCTGGGCCTTGTACTTCCTGTTATGAATGGAGATTTCTAAGTGCAAAGGTGCAGCAGACACTGGAAAGGTTGTGAATTGCAACATATAGCCAAAGCTCTGAAACATTGGTATTTAATAAAAACAGTTAAGTAACTCTTCTTAGCTGATAAAAGGTATGTTTGTTCTTATCTGGATAGAGAGATGACAGGAGGCAGGGTCATGCCAGCGTTCAGAAGTGCAACTACCCAGAACCTTCTAGCACCACCACCCTCTAGGTCCCTGCCAGGATCCCATCCAGTCAATCCTGTTGCAAGCTATCTATATTTTATAGTCACCTGCAGCTTGATAAAAACCCTAGTCATCCCTCTGCTTTTTTTAAAAAAAAAAAAAGCCCATTTATATTTGGGCAGATAGAGATATTCCTTAGAACTGTGGTCTCCAACCCCAAGCCACAGGAAGTGAACGGTAGGCCAGCAAGAGAAGCTTCATCTGTATTTATAGCCACTCCCCAGCACTGGCATCACCGCCTGAGCTCCGCCTCCTGTCAGATCATTGGCGACATTAGTTGGAGGAAAACAAGTTCAGGGCTCCCACTTATTCTGCATTATGGTGAGTTAATTATTTCATTATATATTACAATGTAATAATAGAAATAAAGTGCATGATCAATGTAATGTTCATGAATCATCCCAAAACCATCCCCCTACCCCATCCATGGAAATATTGTCATCCATGAAACGAGTCCCTGGTGCCCAAAAGATTGGGGACCACTGCCTTAGAAGATGGGAAGACTTCCCTTGAGAATGGGAAGCTGAGCACAGGAAAGGAGTGATGTGATGGGGTCATATTTGGGGATTACTGGCTGTTGTGGAAAATGTTTGCAGGGCGACACAAAGGGACAAGTAGACCAGTGAGGAGGCGGTTCCAAGTAAAAGGTAATGGTAGCTCAGACTATCATGATGGCAACAGAATTGGGCCTGTAGACATTGTAGATGCATCTTGAAAGTTGCAGTGGACAAATGTGGGCTACCCGTTTTCCATTTTATGTATCTTGTAAGCCACTTTAAATTCTTTCTAGAATAAGACAGGGTATAAATAGCATTTTAAAATATGGTTTTTAGAAAGTAAAAATTTCTATGTACATTACTGCACTTGAGAACAGCCCATGTGGTAGGTAAGCACCATCTAGAGGATGGACACGCTTGAAGCTCTGACTCAGGTGAGGCAAGGGCAGTATACGTAACCTAAAAACATTTGTATCCCCATAATATGCTGAAATAAAAAAGAAAAAAAAAGACTCATAACAAATAACTTGGCTAATAAACAATGGAGGAGAATAAGAACTCAGGTGTCCTGACTGAAAATGAAAGCTCCATCATCTGCAGATCTCACTGCCATCCACAGGCTTTTGTAGGTGTGGGGGACAGATTACTGACCCCATGTTGCTGGTGGCATCACTCTACAGAAATGCAGAATGGCTTTGGGAGACAAGGTGAGGGAGAAGTTATCTGCCAACCTATAGAGGGAACAAGACCAGATCCCTTGGAAGAAGAAAGGTGGCTAAGGTAAGATGACTATCAAGTACCAAAAATATATAAATGTTTCAGTCAGCTGGGCTCAGCATTTGGGTTTTGTTTTATTTTGTTTTGTTTTGTTTTTTTGAGACAGAGTCTCACTCTGTTGCCTGGGCTAGAGTGCCGTGGCGTCAGTCTAGCTCACAGCAACCTCAAACTCCTGGGCTCAAGCAATCCTACTGCCTCAGCCTCCTGAGTAGCTGGGACTACACGCATGTGCCACCATGCCTGGCTAATTTTTTCTATATATTTTTAGTTGGCCAATTAATTTTGTTCTATTTTTAGTAGAGACAGGGGTCTCGCTCTTGCTCAGGCTGGTTTTGAACTCCTGACCTTGAGTGATCCATCCGAGTTGGCCTCCCAGAGTGTTAGGATTACAGGATAACATTTTCCACAACAGCCAGTAATCCCCAAATATGACCCCATCACATCACTCCTTTCCTGTGCTCAGCTTCCCATTCTCAAGGGAAGTCTTCCCATCTTCTAAGGCATTTTTTTTTTTTTCAGAGTAAGTGCTTTGAATGGCCTTTGATATCTTTTCTCAGAAGAATGTCAGCTAGGGCAGTTTTCTCCCCACACTCCAGGCACCGGCCCATGTGTTCTGTGTAGGGTTTGTTGAGTGGGATGTGGGGTGGAATGTAGGGTATATGTGGCATGTAGAATGATGTCATGTTTTTGTATGATGGTTGGGGGGTGGCTTTTGCTTTGGTTAGTTGGAATTTTCGTGAGTGAGGAGATGATGCCTCTTACAACAGTCTCAGGGCTGAAGCACAGACCACTGATTCTTACCATTCCTCAAAGTAGACAGGAGAGCAGCAGTCTAGAGAGAGGAAAGATCAAGTACAAAGGCATTGAGCGGAAATAAATTTGGTGTGTTCGAGGAGCAGAAAGGAGGCAGTGCTTTAATGATGGAAGTGGAAGAGCAGTCAGGGATGAGCTTGGAGCAGTAGGAAGGGCTGGATCTCTTAAGAGCAGGGTTTCCCACCTTCTCAGAATCAGCTGGGAGTTTAAAAACAAATGGATGTCTCAGCTTCAACCCAGACCAATTAAATCAGAATTTCTTAGGGCAAGGCCTGAAAGTTCTATTTTCTTTTTAAGCCCTCCAGATGTTTCTAATGTGCAGCCAGGGTTGAAAACCTCTGAGATAGGCCCTTACCAACCATGGTATAGGAGTTCAGATTTTATTCTAAGTACACTGGAAAACTGAAGAAGGGTTTTGATCAGGGGAATGACATGCTCTGACTTGAGCTGTGGGTAGAATGGACTCTAGGAGGCAGGAACAGAAGCAGGGAGAACAGGAGGTTGTTGCCATCATCCAACCCAGAAAGGATGGTGGCTTGAACCACTATGAGAGTGAGGAGTTTGTGCATATTGGAGGTGGGGCTAAGACTCTGCATTAGGAAGATTTGAGGAGGTGGGGAAGAAAAGGGAAAGAAACCAGAGATGATTCTTAGGGTTGGTAGGGTTTCTTTGTTGTTGTTTTCTCAGACAGGGTCTCACTCTGTTGCTAGGGCTAGAGTACAGTGATGTCATCATAGTTCAGAGCAACCTCAAACTCCTGGGAGCAAGTGATGCTCCTGCTTAGCCTCCCGAGTAGCTGGGACTATAAGCAGTCATGTGCCACCGAGCCCAGCTAATTTTTCCAATTTTTTTTTTTTTTTTTTTTTTTTTTTGAGACAGAGTCTCATTTTGTTGCCCAGGCTAGAGTGAGTGCCGTGGCATCAGCCTAGCTCACAGCAACCTCAAACTTCTGGGCTCAAGCAATCCTCCTGCCTCAGCCTCCCAAGTAGCTGGGACTACAGGCATGTGCCACCATGCCCGGCTAATTTTTTCTATATATATTAGTTGGCCAATTAATTTCTTTCTATTTATAGTAAAGATGGGTCTCACTCTTGCTCAGGCTGGTTTTGAACTCCTGACCTTGAGCAATCCACCCACCTCAGCCTCCCAGAGTGCTAGGATTACAGGCGTGAACCACCACGCCCGGCCCAATTTTTCCAATTTTTGTAGAGATGGGGTCTCACTCTTGCTCAGGCTGGTCTGAAACTCCTAACCTCCAGGAATCCTCCCGCCTTGGCCTCCCACAGTGCTAGGATTACAGGTGTGAGACACCTTGCCAATTCTAGGTTTGACTTTAGTAACTGGGTGCTAAATGATGGTGCTATGGTGCTAACTGAGATGGGGAAGCTGTGATTTTTTTTTTTTGGTGGCAGTGAATCAGGAGTGTTGTTTTAGGCATGTTCATTTTGAGAAGCCTATTAGACACATCAAGTGGAGATTGCAAGGATGTGTCAGTCTGGAGCTAGGTAGGAAGGTTGAGGTGAGAGCCATATTTAAAGCTATGGCATAGAATGAGACCACTGAGAGTAGGTGGGGAAGAAAAGAGAACCCAGCACAGAGCTTGGCCAGGTCCCCCATCAGGGCTCAGAGGAGGACCCAGCTCAAAGGACTTAGAGGAAGACATTAGCCAGTCAGGCCAAGAGGAAAACGAACATAGTACCATACTCCAGAGGCAAAAGGTGGGGACAGAGGTATTTCTAGAAGAGAAGTTCACTCAAGTTGAATGTGGCTGGGAGGTGGGTCAGAAAGGCCCATGGGATTTGGCTAGGGCGGTTTCAGCAGCTGTGGGGCAGTGGATTGGGGACAGACACCAGCCACAGTGAACAAGAAGTGAGGAAGTCAATGTAGATAGTGAGTGTAGACAACGCTCAAGAAATTTTGCTCTTACTGTGCAGTTACCCAGGAGAAAAAAAAAATTTTGCTGTGGGGGAACAAAGAAATTAAGAGAGTTGGAGGATGTGGGGTCAAGAGAATATATATGTGTATTTTATATTAGTTGGATATATGGTGATAAGAATCATCTGGCAGAAAAGGGACATATTAATGGTAGAAAAAAGAACAATTACTGGAATGAAGTTGGTGAATGGCAAGAGGCTGGGGTCTACTACACCCTTGGAAGGGCTGCCTCTGATAGGACCACTTGAGGGGCCAGGGGGAGGCAGAAAATAGGTGAACAGAGGTAGCTTGGGCGAGTTGGTGGTTGGAATATGAAAGTACCCTGTCTGATTCTGCTGTTTCTCAGAGAAGATGGGAGGCCATGAGCACAGGGGCAATGGGGAACTTTGGTGGCGTGGGGTGTGCAAAAGCCAACACTATCCAGGCCAGGCGCAGTGGCTCACGCCTGTAATCCTAGCACTCTGGGAGGTCCAGGCGGGCAGATCGCTCGAGATCAGGAGTTCGAAACCAGCCTGAGCAAGAGCAAGATCCTGTCTCTACTACAAATAGAAATAAATAATTGACCAACTAAAAATATATATACAAAAAACATTAGCCTGGCATGGTGCCACATGTCTGTACTCCCAGCTACTTGAGAGGCTGAGGCAGTAGGATCACTTGAGCCCAGGAGTTTGAGGTTGCTGTGAGCTAGGCTGACGCCACAGCACTCTCTCTAGCCTGGGCAACAAAGTGAGACTCTGTCTTAAAAAAAAAAAAATCTAGCCGGGCACGGTGGCTCACGCCTGTAATCCTAGCACTTTGGGAGGCCGAGGCGGGCGGATCGCAGTAGGATCACTGAGCCCAGGAGATTGAGGTTGCTGTGAGCCAGGCTGATGCCACGGCACTCACTCTAGCCTGGGCAACAAAGTGAGACTCTGTCTCAAAAAAAAAAAAAAAATCTAAAGCAAGCATCATACCTAACAGTGGAACTTTTTGTCAGGAACAAGACACCATCACTATTGCTTCTATTTGCTCCTGTACTAGGTCCTGAACAGAGCAGTAAAACAAACAAAAAGGACAATTTCTAGGGTATAGCAATGTCCAGTTGCTCTTAGGTTGGCAAAGGGGCGGTGGATGAACCAGGAAAGGAAAGACTAGAGTCAGACAATCGAGAGAGTGAGATGTGAGAGGTGGCCAGAGGTGGCTGGCGTTCAAGCATAGGGTGGGGACCTTAGGCCCCCAGCACTCCTAGGCTCTGGGAGTGGGGTGGGGGGAGGCTGGGAGCTGACCATTGGGTGTCAGAGCTGAGAGGGGCGGGTGTGAGCAGGGGAGGGTTAGTGCTGCAGTACTCATTCCTGCCACCTAGAGTGGACAACCCCACCTTCCCCTACAGACAGCTTCCTCCACAGCAAAGCCTCCACCTAGAAGCATCTACACTCACTGGTATAAAAAGCTTCAGCCTTTATTAAACAAAAAGGAGGTAGAAAACAGATAAGGAAAAGGCTGGGACTCCTTCTTCCCCCTACACATACATAGACCTACAAACGCAGACACAACCATGTGAAAGGCAGAGACCATCAGGGGACAGACTGAAGGGCAGAGGGAGGCAGCACCCTCCGAGAGTGGGCCCGGACCCAAGGGTGGGCTGAGACCTGGGCCAGGGGCAGCCGTTCTGAGGGGTTATGCCTAAGCAGCTTGGAGATGAGGTCCCGAGCTCCCTCGGGCACAGAAGGGGGGAACTTCAGGTCCACCTGCAGGTATGGAAAAGGACCGTGTTAGTTTCACGTGGCTACATTTTCCTTGACTACCCATTCTATTTGGAGTTAGGCAGGGCTGGAGGAACATGCTGTGCCCACCCCCAGGCCCTGACTCTGCTGCCAGCACAAAGCCCCAGGCAGCTCCCACCTTGACTATGCGCCTGTAGGTCTCGTTGTGTGACGCACTTTCAAAGGGCGGGTTCCCCACCAGCAGCTCGTAGCAGAGTACTCCGATGCACCACAGGTCCACCTTCTCGTTGTGTGTGCGCCCCTCAATCATCTCTGGGGGCAGGTAGTCCAGAGTACCACACATTGTCTTCCTCCTGGGTGGGATGAGGAGAGTGGGTAGGGGTCCCAGGGACAGCCAGCCTCTCCTTTCCCTGCTGCCTGACGGCAGGGAGCGAAGAGACCACAGGATGCACCAGGGGAGTGTTCCAGCCAGGCAGGGCCACTGGGAAGGGCTGGGTGATATTTACCAAAGGCCCAGAGGTGGACCTACACACTGCCCTAGTATCAACACACTGAGGAATGTATCTTAATAAAATAATCAGATAGGAGGGCAATGTTCATCTTGGAATCAAAGGAAAAATTGGGGACAAATCTAATGCCTATCAAGCATGTTCTACTTAAATAAATCTAGTTTCATCTCTACTATGTAATACTATGAAGCCATGAAAAATGATGTGGGAGTATTCTCAGTGATATGGCAGAGTCCTAACATATTGACTGGAAAATTTGGGTGACAGAACTCTCTCTGGTTTTTTTTTTTTGAGACAGAGTCTGACTCTGTTGCCTGGGTGAGTGCTATGGCGTCAGCCTAGCTCACAGCAACCTCAAACTCCTGGGCTAAAGCGATCTTTCTGCCTTAGCCTCCTGAGTTGCTGGGACTACAGGCACACGCCACCACACCTGGCTAATTTTTTTCTATTTATAGTAGAGACAGGGTCTCGCTCTTGCTCAGGCTGGTCTCTAACTTCTGAGCTCAAGCAATCCTCCTGCCTCAGCCTCCCAGAGTGCTAGGATCACTGGCGGGAGCCACCGTGCCAGCTTCTCTCTTATTTTTATAAAGATGGTGCTGTGTCAAAAAAAAAAAAAAAAGATACTGCTGTGTCTATATTTGTGTGAAGACAACCCTCAATGTCTATGGGTAACAAGATTTGGAGGGGTTTTATTTAGAATGTTCCAGCCTCACACCCAGGGCTGGCCTCCCAGCCCACCATACCTCAAGGAGGGGGCGTGCACAGACCAGCCAAAGTCAGCAATCTTCAGCTCTCCCTTGAGCCCTAAGAGCAGATTCTCTGGCTTTATATCTCTGTGAATCACCTTCTTCCCGTGGCAGTACATCAGGGCATCTGCCAACTCTTCCATGATCTGGCAAGGACAATGACAGGCAATCAGACAATGATGGACCTCTGGCTACAAGCAGTGTACCCCCAGTCCCAAGGCCCCTGCTGGCACCCCGGGTGCCCATCCTCCCCAACCGTGGCTGTTCGCTGCTCATCAAAAGTTCGGCTTTTCTGTAGCTCCTTGTAGAGCTCCCCTCTGGGGGCGTACTCCAGAATCAAGTAGATCCTCTTCCGATCATAAAAGTAGTTGTACAGACGCAGGATGTTGGGATGCCTGGGGGAAGTGACAGAGGAGGCTTCAGGCCACATCCTGACATAAAGGAGCTGGGAAAGATGGCAGAGGAAATGGGTCAGATGTGGACCAGGCCAGGGACACCAGGGCTGAGGGCAGTAAGGGGCAACTGGGGCAGCTCTCTGGATTCAAGGCTCTGGCCCAGACTGAGAGTTAAATGGGGCTCACTGGCCACAGCCAGAGACAGTCATCTGGACGAGGTAGGGCTGAACAGGGAGCTGGGGTGAGGGAGCAGAGGGGCTCAGGCTCAAAGGGTGTTGAAACATACTGCAGGTGGGCCTGGATTTCGATCTCCCTGCGCAGCTGGTGCTCCACACCCTCCTTCTCTATCTGAGACTTAAAGAGGACCTTGAGCGCCACGATGAAATGGCTTTTCTTCTCTCGAGCCAAGTACACATTTCCAAACTTGCCTTTGCCCAGAGGACGCCCAATCTCAAAGTCATTAATTGTGAAGGTCCGCCTGGTTAGAAAGTGGGGGATGGCAGCTCAGCACTGGTTTGTCATCAGCTACGGTGTCTGCTTCCTCCCCACTCCCTCATCCCATCCTGCCCTCAGCTGCCCCATTTCTCCTCATCCCTACTCCTCCTGCCCTGAGGTTTTACCTCCCCTGCTTCCTGCCTGTTCACTTTCTGCTCCAGCCTCCTTCACCCCAAGGCTTGGGGCACTTACGTTAAGAGGTTGGGTGTCCCACTGCTATTCTCCACCGCCTTCTGGCCAGGGGCAGCTAAGGAGAGGACAGGTAAGTTGAGGCCCTCCTTTGACATTCTCATCCCTACACCTACCCATAGACTCTTGTTGCCTCAAGTCAATCCTCTCCCCTTATTCCAGTTACCTTTACCTGTGGACTGGACATTGGAGCGGCTCATGAGGACAAGTGCAGACGGGGTAGCAGGATCCTTCCGGAGGACTCGCTGGGGCAGGGTGCTCAGGCCAGATGGAGCCTGAGAAGGAGCAGGGGGTAGCTCTGAGGGTGCCTTTGTCCTGGTGACCCGACTGGAATGTGCTACAAGCAGCATTTCAGCTACTTACTAAAGAACCACCCACCCACCCCCAGCTCAAAGAGAAACACTATAACACAGTTTTGCTCCCCCTCCCCAAGACTCTGCTGCTAGTCCCACATTGAAATGGGTTATTGGTAAACAACCTAAGTCAGCCTAAGATAAGGGGCAAAGGACTCACCCCAACACCTAACATTTCACTTCTTTGGCCCTGGACCACACCACCTTCTCAGGCCTTAACCTGTTCAATCTGTGTAAGTCCTGTCCATAACACCACCCTCATTCACCAGCCCCCCACCTCCAGGGGCAGCAGAGGGCTAGGTCAATGAACACCCGCAATTCAGGGGGGCTTGGCACAGGGGCCTTCTCAACAGCCCCTGCAAAGCTTAGTCTGTTAAAACTTAGATAATTTCCTTGAGGCCTTGAACATTGCAGCAGACACCGTTATTTACCCCTTTGGAAAAACAGATTTTCAGGATACCAAGGGCTACTCTGATAGCCCTTCCAGTCACTTATGACTTTCAACTTCTCAGATTAATAGACATTTTCTTTTGGGAGTTACCAAGGTAAAAGTGACAATGGCCTCTCATTCAAGCTCCATTCTTGACCATCTCACTCAGTGCTCTATGATGGAGGGAGAAGAAGACAGGGGAACAGGTGGACTCTCCATGATACTCAAGTCCCACCAGCAGGGAGCTAAGCCTCTGCAAGGGTCCTTCCTTCTTCTTAAGCCAAAAGAAAACTCTAATACCCCTAAAAGCATGATCCTAAACAGTGATATTGTACAAATCAACAAATAAGCAAGTTGAATACAATACAGTCCAGAAATAAACCCCATCTTTGTGGGAATTTAATATGTATAATAAAGGTGGCATTTCAAGTCAGAGGGTAGACTCTAAATGAAAGGTGTGTGGACAACCGGGAAATCTATTTAGATCCTTACCTCACATCTGTCATTAAAATAAATTCTAAATGAACCTTTTAAACAGTAACTTTATTTCGTTCTAGAGTCTATTTCTATTTGCTGCCTTGTTTATTTTATTATTTTTTTCAAGACACGGGTTAGGAATCATGGTCTGAATGCCAGACCCTGCCTTCTCAGTCCCAGATATCATTTGTATTTTTGCTGCCAAGTAGGCTTAACACTGTAGGGGTCCTCACGGGCTGGGAGTCACTGGCTGGTCAGATTCAAGTTGGCAGCACATGACAGTATGTGGCTGCAAATGACCAGACCGGGTTCTGCTGGCATACGTTGGACCATAACGGGGAAGAAAGTCCTAAGAGGACTGCTCTCTGCAGTACCTCAAATCTCCAAGTAGGAACTCGCCATGCGGGGCATGGGGGGCGGGCAAGGAGGAAAGGGCCTTACCGTCTGCCGGCCGTAGGGCCAGGGGTAGGCGTTCTCCTTCTGGGCCATCCTTAGAGGGAAAGGGGGAAGAGAGCTGGACAGAGAAGAGAAACAGCCGTGAAAAGCAGAAAAAAAAAGAGGAGGGAGGGAGGGAGAGGTCGGACCGATCTAGCCGGAAGTGCTAGCCTGGGCTGGTGAGAGGGACCAGGTCAGCCGCCGGCCGCAGTCAGAACACTTCCGGGGGCTTGTCTCCCCGCCTCACCCCTGCTCCCGGCCCCACCCGCTTCTAGGACCCTCTCTCCACCCTTGAGCGCTCCGCAACCCCGCAAGTGCGCGCGGGCCCGCCCAACGGACCCCAGATCTGCCAGATCATCTACCTTGTCCGGCGCAAGGCCCGCGAAAGGAGGCCCGCTCGCCTGCAGCCCGAGGCACAACTACTCTTCCAGCTCCGCAAACGACAGACTCGCCGGAGCCGTGCCTTCACCGAGGACCTTTCAAATCTCCCGCTCCGACCCCATTGGCTGAGGGCGCCGACCATACGCAATTTTCATTGGCTAGATTTCCTGTGACGTAAGCCGTGAGCCCAACACAGGAGGTCGAATGTGAGGCGGCGCGAGCTGGGTGTCCAGCTAGGGGAAGTTTTTCTAGTACTCGTTCCCTTTCTCCCTGTCCTCCCTTTCTCTCTCTTTCTCCTTTTCTTCCTTATTTCTTCCTTTTTAAAAATTTAAATCTTTAATATAACTGTAATTCATCCATCTATATATGTATATATATATGAGTTAGGGTCTAACTTTGTTTTCTGCCAGATGAAAAGCCAATTATGGGCCAGGCGCGGTGGCTCACGACTGTAATCCTAGCACTCTGGGAGGCTGAGGCGGGCGGATGGCTCAAGGCTTGTGTACCCAATGAGCAGCTAAAGCCAAACACTGTGACACCAGTGCTTCGAGGCAGAGAAAGGTTTGTTTGATTTGGCCAAACCAAGAAGATAGGAGAGCAAAGTCTTTTCAAATCCATCTTTCTAAGGAAGTGAAGCAGGTGCCTGGAAATTCCCCAGCTTACAGGGCTGAAGACAGGGCATTGGGCAGGAATAAGAAACGAGACAGTAGAAGAGAAAGAGTGGAATCAGGGGACTCAAGGCTTTCCAGACCAAGAGTCCTGAGAGTAATTCCTCACTCGTATTTATTCATCCCAAGAACAAAAGATCATCGTAAATCATACGAACAAACATATTCAAAAGATACCCCACAGGCAAACTTTAAAGCTTATTTATAAAGATTAAGATATTCAGGTGCACAATAATCTCAGCAAAGCTATTGCTAGCCTAAAGCTAAACAGGAACATAAATTTGGGATTGAGGCTAGGCTAGTTTTCCAGCAGGTTGGGCATTCCTGATTGCAGTTCTGGAGCAGTTTTCCGCCCCAGGTGAGAAACTTTTTAGTTCCTTCTGCCCTTGGAATATCCTTACCATATGGAAAACAGCCACATCTATGCAAACCGTCACATCCACAGAGGTTCTTATGCCAGCAATATCTCAAGGTCACCCTAACATTTCAAAACTACCCCAACAGGTTGGGAGCTTTTATGCAGCTAGGGAATAAGGGTCTGGGATAGGGATGGGTTTCTGTGTTGCTTTTAGTCCCTAATAACACCTTGAATAACCAGACTTCTGGGCATCAGGAGCCAGTCACAACTTTCTCAAGGGCATTCACTCCTGCAAAACTAATTCACAGATTTTCCTTGTAACCCTGGAGTGCTTGACAAACAAAAAATCCAGTATATTAGCAGTTAATAGTTACTGCAAGAACAAGGGGTGCTGGGCAAGAAGCAAGCACTTAACATGTACAAGCAATTAAGGGCATAATCAAATTTTACATTATTTAAGTAATAAAATGCTGGGCTTGGCTGGGCATGGTGGCTCACTCCTGTAATCCTAGCTCTCTGGGAGACTTAGGCGGGCGGATTGCTCGAGGTCAGGAGTTCAAAACCAGCCTGAGCAAGAGTGAGACCCCCGTCTCTACTATAAATAGAAAGAAATTAATTGGCCAACTAATATATATAGAAAAAATTAGCCGAGCATGGTGATGCATGCCTGTAGTCCCAGCTACTCGGGAGGCTGAGGCAGCAGGATCGCTTGAACCCAGGAGTTTGAGGTTGCTGTGAGCTAGGCTGACGCCACGGCACTCACTCTAGCCTGGGTAACAAAGCAAGACAATGTCTCTCCCCCCCCAAAAAAAAAAATAATAAAATGCCAGGCTACTAAAATCTCAGGGGGCCCAATTACAGAAGCATGCAGCCCCCATGGTTGCTTGTGGTGCTCCTGAATGAAGCAGCCTGACATTGAAGCTTATTAATTGCAGAAGCCAGAAGAGAGGACTGGAAAGGAGCGGAATACTTGATGACATTGTTAAGCCTCTGCATGCCAACTGCAGTACATTCTTTATGTGAAAATAGATCTCCTTCCCTAACGCATTCTAAGTTCTGTTATTTGCGTTGAAAGCATGCTGTGTAGAAGAAAACCAAACTGTTTTCCCTCTGCTCTCATACCACAACAATCAACACAGGAGACTTCTGTGACAAATGCGTAGGCATCTCTCCCCAACAACAAGCAAGCCAATCAGTTCTGCAGCAGACACTAGCTGGCTGTCCTCCAATTCAATTCTGACACTATCTACCTGGTGACAGCATCAGAGCTCATTCGTTGAAGACTCAGTCCTACAAGACTGCCCCCCAATTCTGATACCAGACCCTGCTGAGAACAACCACCACCTAGATATCCATCTGGATAAGAAAGTGTTGGTTCCTGGATTCCGCAAATACTGCCAGCCCCTCTTATTTCTCACCAAAGGTCACAATGGAAAATCCCCAGCTCTTCCCGCCAAAAGTCCCTAGTGTGGCCCAAATGGTATAAAAGGCCTCACCCCCTTCAAATGGATGTGACTTCTTGGGCCTCCCTCTCTTGGGACCGCAGAACCTTGTCCGGGAGCACATAATAAAGCCATGTCGTTTGGCCCCACTTTTTCTCTCTGTTTCTTTCACCACTGGAAAACTTTATAGTTTTACCTGTGCTTCTACCCACTGGCTACAAATTGAGGTTTCCACAACCCTCATTGGGTTTCCGAACCCATCCTTGGGTTCGATTAAATTTGCTAGTATGGCTCGCAGAACTCAGAGAAACACTTACTTACTTTTACTGGTTTATTATAAAGGGTAGCACAAAGGATCCAGATGGAGAGATGCATAGGGAAAAGTATGGCAGAAGGGGTGGGAAGTTTCCATGCCCTTCCCTGGCATGCTGCACTCCAGGATATCTCTGTGTGTTCAGCCATCCAGAACCTCGCCTTCTCCCCTCCTCTTGGGCCTTTTATGGAGACTTCATTGGCTAGGCATGATTGAAGCATAGACAACCATGTAGAGATGTGATTGGACAACCAGGCATGGGTACCATAGCAAGACCCTGCCTTTACAAATTTTTTTTTTTTATTTGCTGGGTGTGGTGGCAAGTGCTGATAGTTCCAGTTACTTCAGGCTGAGACTGAGGTGGAAGGATGGCTTGGGCCTAGGAGGTCAAGGTTACAGTGTGCTATGATTGCACCACTGCACTCTAACCTGGAAATTTGAGCGAGACCATATCCCTAAAAAAAAATTTTTTTTTAATTAAAATAAATTGTAAAAAATTACAAAAAGAAATGAGATTGGACAAAAAGGGCTTGATCTAATACTAACAGACTGAGTAGGGAAACCCAGCAAGACTTGTCCAGGTTCTTCTTGGCCTCTCTGTGCAGCTCTCCTTCCTCCTGGGATGAAGGGCAGGGCCCCTTCTGAAATGGGGGTCTTATGACCTACAATGGAAAAGGTAGGTCAGAAACTCTATATGGCCAGCTCCAAGACGGAAAGGCAAGGGGAAGATTAGAGTGTGTGTGTGTGTGTGTGTGTGTGTGTGTGTGTATATATATATATTTTTTTTTTTTTTGAGACAGAATCTCACTTTGTTGCCTGGGCTAGAGTGCTGTGGTGTCAGCCTAGCTCACAGCAACCTCAAACTCCTGGGCTCAAGCAATCCTCTGCCTCAGCCTCCCGAGTAGCTGGGACTACAGGCATGTGCCACCATGCCTGGTTAATTTTTTCTATATATTTTTAGCTGTCCAATTAACTTCTATTTTTAGTAGAGATGGGTCTTGCTCTAGGTCAGGCTGGTCTCGGACTCCTGAGCTCAAATGATCCACACACCCTGGCTTCCCAGAGTGCTAGGATTACAGGTGTGAGCCACCACGCCCCTGGCTCAAGTTTATTTTTAGTTTCTATCTCTTGCCATGGGGAAAAACAGAGCAGGTGAAAGGGTGCAGGAGAAAGCCAGAAAGTTTTGTGAGGCTTGATTTTGGGGTCCACAGTGCCCCAACATTATAACAAAATATGCTCTTTCACCTTCATCTTTCTGAAGCTATTCCAAAGCTACTTCAGGAGCCAAGGACAAAACAGAGGTATACTTTAACAAAAGGTAAGTTTTTTTTTAAGTCTCTTAGGAAATGACAAGGACTATGAGAGTTATGAGAGTTATGAACCATAAATGAAAACCAATATATAAATAATATCACACATACCAACTGACACACATCTACAAACCTACAGTGTTCTTAGTTATTCAGGTTGACTCATATGAAATTGCTGATGCTCAATTATTTTGACCTACAAAAATAGCAATTTCATGAGATTCAACCAAATGTGTAACAAATAAGCCCTTATAAAGTTTCTAGATCAGTTCATAATGCTTTTGGCTGCAAGTAACAGAACATTTGTTAACAATGGCATAAACAATAGGGATCTGCTTTTCCTTACGTAACAAGAAACCAGGAGGTAGGTGGTTGGTTCAGGGTAACTGGACAGACAAGGTTAGAGATCTGGATTGGCCTATCTGTGTTTGATTCTCTTAACATTTCTCTTATGATTGCAAGATGGCTGCCAACTGTCTCTTTTATCAGGAAAAGCAGAAGCCTTTCTAGGATTACCCAATAGATTTCTCATTGGCCAGAGCTGTGTCACATGACTACTGCAAAAGAGGCTGGTAAAAATCAGTGTTTTGTACAGTTGCTACCATGAAAGCAATAAAGGGGAGATGGTAGAAACAGGTGTTTGCCATGACTGTTGACAATTTTATTCTGGGGAGCCCATGATTTATTTAAAAAATCAGAGATGTCTGTATGATGAGGCATCTCCAGAGATTTGATAATCATGGCCACTATGCTGCCATTTATGAAAAATCACTTTGTTAATGGCGGTACACTGTTTTTACTTAGGGTCAGTCCAACCCCACTTCTCAAGATCAGGGAGCCCCTTTCAATTGCAGCACCTTTACCAACATAATGGCATTAGCTAATGAAGAGCTTTATGACAGTTCTACCACTTGCAGTATACTTTATTCCTCATGACTTAGTGAAGGGAGACTTTTCTGGAACCTATCAGGGCACAGAGGCATGGGTGGAATATGCCTAATAGATTCAATATAATGTCCCTATCCCCTGGAATCTTTAAATTCCTAGGTATGACACATTATGTCAGGACATTTTTGGCCTTTCAGGAATATTTGATGGGCAAGCATGGACGCAGGATTTGCATTTTTCAAAATAAGCAAGACTCTCAGGTCTTCCATCTGCTTGGCCAAGTTGGT